CTTGAGAAATACTAAGCATGTTCTTCCCTGTTAGTTTTTTAACTCCAGATCTTTGTGCATTTCATTATAGTATTTTGTTTTGTCTTCTTGAGCTGCCCTTTGAAATTTTCTATTCAGCTCTTTTAACTCATTTTTTCCCATTTGTGTTAGTATTTCTATGCTGCAGAGCAAGTTTCAGAGTCTCTTCTGACATCCATTTTGGTCTTTTCCTTCTTTCTTGTCTTCTTAATAAACTTTTGCTTTCTTCCTGTATAATGTTTTTGATGTCATCCACAACTCTTCTGGTTTTTGGTCTTTAGTGTTTAATGCATCAAATTTGTTCTTCAGCAATGCTCAAAGGGACCCTGAAAGGATCTTTTAGAACTTACCTCAGCCACTAGACAGGATCTCATCAATAACCCATGACCAGAAATAGTGCTGTAGGATAAGCACTAGACTGTTCACTGCAAGGGCAGTGGTTCAAACCTACCAGCCACACTTAAAAAACCCTACACGGGGCTGCTATGAGTCAAAACTGACTTGACAGCACACAACACCATCATGCGGTGAAGAATATTTATAACAACTATTTATGGACTGCAAGGTGGTTTTGAACTACAAGGTCAGCTCTATACAGGGTTACTAAGAGTAGGAACCAACTCAATGACACTTAACAACATTTTAAGCCTACTAATTCAAAGACCATTGGGTCACCTCTCTTTGGAATGGGAAGAAATACGTATTTTTTCTAGTCAGTTGGCCAGATAGTTGTCTTCCAATTTTCTTGGCATACATCGAGTGCCTCCTGTGCCACCTCACTTTCTTGAAAGTTTTCAAGTTGTATTCCATCATTTCCTGGTGCCTTGTTCTTTGCCAATTCCTTCAATGCACCTTGGACTTCCTCCTTCAGTATCATTGACTCTTGATAATATGCTACCTCTTGAAACGGTTGAACATCAACTATTTCCTTTTGGTACAGTGACTCTGTATTGCTTCCATCTTCTTCTGCATCTTTCAGTAATTTGCCCAGAGAATCTTTCAATAACGAAAGTCAAGGCTTGAATTTTTCCTTCAGTTCCCCCAGCTTGAGAAATGCTGAGCATGTTGTTCCTTTTTGGTTTTCTGACTTCAGATCTTTGCACATTTGCTGTAATCTTTGACTTTATCACCTTGAGCTGACTATTGAAATTTTCTGTTCAGCTATTGTACCTCCTCATTTCTTCCATTTGCTTTAGCATCTCTACACTGGAGAGCAAGTTTCAGTGTTTCTTCTGACATCCATTTTGATCTTTTCCTTC